GCACTTTGGGTTGTACTTTGTGGATCGCCTTTCTGGGGGCTGTCCAACTCTGGCTCCTTGCGCACGCAATCTTGTCTTCCAACGTACGCGCCAGGGCGAGTATTCGTTGCCTATGGTGGATTCGGTTTTTGTTCGTTCCATCGCCGCGGCTTTTCGAGAGCGTGGGTCTCCACCTCTCGGAATTATGAAAGGCTTTCTTCGCCGCGCTCTTGATGGTTGTTGGGTCCTCCTGTCTGTGTTGAAGGAGTTTGTCATGAGACATGCGTTTTTGTATTTTGTTGCGCCTCGGACCTTTGCTAGCCGTCATGCCAACCATTGGCGTGCCGCGAAACTGTTCTCAACGTCTACGGTCGGCTCGCTGGAGCCGGATGCAATTCGTAAGTTGCTGTTGCGTTCCGACTGCGGGCTCGCGCGAACGAATTGGGACTCACCAGTCCGCCGGCGATTTTGGCAGAAATGGTCCAGTCTGTCAACCGCATGTCGTCGTTGGATTAAGCACTGTCGTCTTGATTGTTATGGCAGGTAGGGTGATATTTTGTGGTCATGTTTCAATGCTCGTGGTTCAGACGATCATTTTCATCTGGCCTTTTTTAGGATGGCCGACGCCATGGCCCCAGCAGGCGCCGGGGTCGTCTGCGTCGGTGACCACAATCCTCGATGCAAAATGGTATGTTCTTTCGAAGGCTATCAGCTGCAACTCTATATGGCGTTCGTGTGCGACGACGCGCCGTGGAAACTTTTTCCCACGACATATTGGCCCCATATCTTGCTCGCCGTGCGGGAGTTCCACGATAGGTTCGCACTTCTGCGCTGGCAGCTTCCTGCCGCTTCGGCGCGGGAGGCGGATGGGTCGGGCTATGTGTACACCAGCCCGAAAGGCAGTTGTCATGCTGATGGGGCGTTTCGGCGCGACGAGCCTCATCAGCGCGACCAGCAAGTGCAGTTCGTCCCGGATGTCCGTTGTGAGCGTGTTCTCGGATTGTGGCCCTTGTGCTGAGGGAGTGCAAGCGCCAAGAGAGTTGTACTTCCTGGGCCCTGTGGTCTACGCGTGACTCGGCCCGCGTCGCGCAGCGTCGGCTGGGGCATCTATATGCGGATCCGTGATTTACCTCTACATGCATCGCTTGTCGTGGCAATGCCTGTTGCGCGCTTGATGTGAGCAGTTTCCTTCCCCATGCGGATGCGCATGAAGCGCCGCGTGAAACTGAACAGCCGCTCCAGCGGATCGCTTCGGCCACTCGTGCGAGCGCGGTTTCCGTGCCGAGGTCCCGGGGGCGCCGCCCTTAGTTTCGGCTTGCAGTTTTGGACGGCACCCAGCTCGTTGTCAGGAGGGTCTCCCTCAGGGCGGCCGGCAGTGCGAACCTTTGGGCGTGGCTCTGGTGTGTGCTCGCGTCCGGCGCCTGCGCGTGGGCCTTCGTTTGTTCGGCAGGCACGTGGTCTCGTTTTCAGGGCTCCACCTCTGGATGCTGTTCTGGCAGTCTTGCAGCATGTTGACGATTTCATGTGTTCCCCTTGCAGTTTTCGTGCGCGATGCCTACTGCAGCGTCTCCGTTTTGGTTCCCTTTGGTCTTTCTGTCAGCCTGAATGAAATGGGGCGAGGTGTTCGTTATCTTGATTCTAATTGGTCTGTGAGCGGCAGGGGTGTTTGCATCGGCCTCTACAGCGCAAATCGCATCATCATAACCAGTGTTTCTTGCCGAGATGTTGTCAGAGTTGCGCCGTTGTTGAGTGGGCATTCCGGGTCCAATGTGTCACTATGGCTATGCTCAAGGACGTTTCGCTCGTATCCAGCGGTTTTGCCAATAATCTCACGTGGGCTTCAAGTGCTGTTTTGAGCTCGTGTTGAATTTTATCTGTTTGCGCTGCCCTTCCAACCTGCTTCTGAACGGCATCAACAGGATGCCTCCTGTTCGCCAGACGTTGGCTTTCAAACGTTTTCCTCGCTGCCTTCAAACTGTTGGCGCCAGACTGCACGGACCCGTCGAATCAGCGCATGGGAGCATGAATTGAAGAGGAATCGCGGGGAGCTGGCGTTGCGACAAATTCTGGCTTCAGATGCCGCCAAAACCAGCGTGGCGACGATTTCAGTTCTTCATTGTGCCCGAGTCGTGTCTATGTTTCCGTAGCCGCGTGGGTTCAAATGTCGCGAGGTTTCTCCGGAGTGCGGGCCCGAGCAGCACACGGTGAAAAAGCGACCATTCCAGAGTGGCGGCATTTGTCCCCGCCAAGAAAATCGGCGCTTCCATTCTGAGCGTGTCTGCAACATCTACCTCCGCAGCTCTGTTGCAGTTCACCTTCCTTCGGGGCTTTGCAGAAATCTGAGGACGCACTTCCTGGAGAGAGGGGGGGGGGGAGGGGGAATGGGGGGGCAACGCCCGCGCCCGCGCGGTCCCGCGCCGGCTCTGTCCGGCGGGCCAGGGCGGGCCGCCGGCCGCGCCCGGAGGGCTGCGCGCCTGGCGGCCTCGTCGCCAATGGCGCGCGCCGGGCAACAACGGCGGCGCGCCGGGCACGAGGCGGCAGCGCGGGCGCCCGCCCGCGTCGCGGGCGGCTGGCCAGCTGCGGCTGCGCCTTCGCCTGGCAACCGCAGCGCGCGCAGGCTACGCACGTCGGGCACCGGGGCGCCGCGGGCGCCTGCCAAGGGCGGCCTGTGAAGGGCCCGCGCCGCCGCAGATGCCCCCGGGCGCGGCGCCTCCGCGGGTGCGTGTTGGCCGAGTTGGGTCGGGCCTCGGCCCATTCTGGCCGGCCCGCGCTGCGGCGGCGGCACTGCGGCGGCGGCCAAAAACCACAGGTGCGCCCCCCACGCGGGGCGCGCGCGCGCGCCCCCCGCGGTGGCCGGGCGTGGTCCAGCGGCGCCGAGCGCGGGGCCCACCCAGGCTGGACCCGTCGTGCTTCGCCGTCGACGCCGTTGGCTAGACGGCAGCGCGCATCCGCTGCAGGACCATGCGAGCGTGCAATCGGACTGCGCGCCGCTGCAGGATGCCCGCATGCGGCAGGCGCTCTGTTGCAGCTGCTTTCGCGAGCTGGTCTGCAGCGGCGTCGCCGAGGCGGTTCCCCTCCGAGGACCCGCGCGCGGCGTCGGCGCCCTCGTCGAGGTGGGCTTTGACCCTGCAGGCCACCGCGAAGACCGAGCGGCAGCGGGGTTTGAACTGGTCCCAGAGGTCGGCACGCGCCTCTTGAGCGGAGCCGCGCCGTGGCCGAGCGCAGCCATGCCATGTCGAACATATCGTGAATCCGTGATCACCTCCACGGGCCTGCCCGCGATGTGCGAGGCTTGCAGCGCTGCGGTGACCTGCCGTGGTCTGGTCTGCGCGCCGTCCGCGGGGCCGCTGCGGTAATGTTCGTGACGCCCAGGGCCTCGCCACATGCGCGCCCCAGCTGGCGCGCGCGAGCAGCGCGTCCGTCGAGTGCTCGCATGCCCCGTCCGTCTCCTGGTTCTCGCGGGACCTCCGTCCGGCGGCAGTGCGGGCGCGGGGAGCGGCGGCGGCCAACGCGGCCAGGCTGGCGTCCATCGGGGGCGCGCCAGTGTTCGCCCTTCCGGGTGGCAAGGGAGCCTGGAGGGCAGCCGCCGACATGTTGCAGGCCGCGAGAACCGCGTTGAGGTCGCTTGACCACCTCGGGCATCTCCAGAACTGGTGCTGGCGGTCCTCGCGGGTCGCGCCGCAGAGAGGGCGCCGCTCTAGCCAGCCCCACTTCGCCGTGACGGTCTCCACGATGACGCTCCTGGCCAGCGCGGCACGGAGGGCCCCAGCGGCGTCGGGGGCGAGCTCGCCGTCACGAAGCAGATGCCGAGTTGTCCATCGACGCCCTCGGCGACGTGCGCGAAATCAGCCCGTCGCGCCACCGCCGCGCGAGCCTCGCGCCGCGCCCGCTCTGAAAGCAACGCCGCTCGGGTGTCTGGGAGGGCGCGGGCTGCCCGCCGCCAGCCCGCAGGAGCTTCCGGCACGCCGCTCCAGATCTCGATGCCCGCCCCGAGCTGCAGTTCATCGAGGCTGCGTGCCGCTGCGGCCATCGAACCAAAGCCGCGGCTGCCCGCGACCGCCCTGGCACCGGCGGCCGCGCGCCACAGGTCGGCTGGGAAGCGTCGGCGGCGTAGTGCCTTGGCCGTCTGCCGCACCGGCGCCATCGCGACCACAGGCGAGGGGGCAGACGCAACTCTTGCTTACTTTGCTCGTCGCATGGCAGCGCAAGGGGCCGATCACGTGCAGTTCTGCCCTGTTCGTCGTTGGCACTGCAGGGGCCAACGGGTCGGGTGTGTCCAGGCCAGCAAGCGGGCGGGCCCTCAACATCGGGCGCCTGGGCCCTGCGGGGAGGACCGTTCGAGCGTGTCGGGCGGACCCTCGCCTGTGGCTGGGGCGGGTGGACCTTGCCTCGGGCGGGATCGGCGGGCGGGCCCTGCCGAACGTGCCGGGCGGTCGGGCCCTCGCGGGCCAGCCGGGGCGAAGGGGCGGTCTCTCGAGCAGGCGCGCGGGCGGGCCCGAACGGGCGGGGCGGGCGTTCGGTCCGGGCGGAAGTCAGCAGGAAAACGCGCAGACACAATTACTCGTCGATTCCCCCCAGAAAGTATCAGAAAATATGGGAAGTGGGGGGGAAGACGAACGCCCAGAAGCCATGGGAAACTATGGGGAATCCTGTTATTTGTGTGTATTTGTTTGTGTGTCCCAGGGCCCCTTCAGGAATGGGGGCGCGGGTTTTCAGAGGCAACTCGGGCGGACGGGCTCGCGCGCGCGGGTCCGGCGGGCAGCGGGTGCACCCCAGCGGGTGGGTGTGGCGGGCAAGTTCCGGCGATCGGCTCCAGGGGGGTGCGGGTCGGCGGGCGGGGCATGCAAGACGCGTCCCCCTCGGAGTTCTTCCTCGCCCCCCGGCCCTCTGTATGCCCCCCCCCCTTTTCTTCCCCCCCTCTTCCCCTCACTCCCTTTTCCTTCCTCTCTTGTCACTCCCTCTTTCTCCTCCTCCTCCTCCTCCTCCTCCTCCTCCTCCCCTTCCTCGCGCTCCTCGGTCAGGAGCTGGAGTTGTCGGCCGTTCTGAAGCAGGCTGTGCCACTGGGATGCAGCATAGCCTTTTGGAATGTGCTTTCGTGCCAGAAGGGTGGCCATGAGTTGGAGGGGCGGCAGCAGGAAAGCAGTGGTATCGCGAGGGAACGAGGATACTGTACCGCATCAAGTCCCTGGCTGATTCCTGACTCGCTAGATGTACTCCATTCAGGGGGGTGCAGCCCGAGCCTTGGACTGCTGGAGTCCTGCATACTGTCGCGACGGTTCGGTCGAGCATGGGGTGCAGCAGAGCCACATGGTTTTGGTCAATGTGGCGTGGCAGTTCACGTTGTGAGATATCACGCAGCGACAGAATGCCATCCTAAACCTCCCACCCATTCCTTCCCGGTGCGCTGCTTTTGCCTCTATCCGCGGACGCGTGTCATGTCGGACCAGGCGCTCCCAAACAGACCCCATCGTGGTCTCGATCGGAGAGGTAGAGCTGAGCAGGAGGAGTGTGAGGATGAGGAAGCCGGAGGAGGGCGTGGACGAGGACGAAGAGCAGCAGCGGGAATTGGATGTGAAGGAACGGGAGGAGCAGGAAGGCCAGGGAAAGGCGGAGAAGGGGAAATGAGGAGGGCGACGACGATGAGGACGGACTCGGATCCACAAAAGTGGCCCGCGCTGGGGTGACAGCGCAATTTCGAACGACAGAGCAAAGCGCCGATCCGAAAACGAGACCCACGCTGTAACGGGAATACCAATTTGAAGCACCGAAAATAATCGGATTGTAACATGGCGATGAGCAAAGCACACTCGTCCCATCTTGTGTGTAAGAACAATGCGCGGAGAGGGCGGACATTTTTTGGACAGAGTGTGGGGAGAGAGGAAGGTAGTGCTCATAATGTGTATTGGTAGAGGGGGAGCGGGGCAAGCTAGGTGCGCGGGACAGATGTGACATCCTACTCCTCCCACCCATCTGGTTGATTCCGTGTGAACCTTCGTGATCTTTAGGAAAGCCTTGCGATGGCCGAGGACATCGTCAGGATTCCTTGGGATTCCTGGAGGAGGCCGCGGGAACAGGAGATTTAAACGGGTGTCCCGTCCACTGGGTAGTCGGGGTGGCTCGCCAGCCATCATCACAGAGGCGTTGGAGCCTCTTGCTTTGATTCTGATTGCGGGGAGCCTTTCAAAGCCCCGCCAGCGCAGGTCGGAGGCCGAACCAGCGCTCGTCTGATCAGTGCCGCACGCAAGATGAAAGAGCCGCAGCCCGCCTCCAGGCGTCGCTCAGAGGCGGGCGAGCCTAGCCCTGCCCGCCCCGTAGTTCATCCGGAGCCCTTGACCGCTCCGACAAGCGGTCGCCTGCGCGTGGAATGAATGTGGTGCGGCGCAAGCCCTGGGAAGGAGGGGAGGGAGAGAGGGCTGGAAGAGAAGGGAGGCGGGGAGATGGAGGGGGGAGGGATCCAGGATACTCTCTGGGGAGGAAGGGGATAGGGAGGCGGCGGGGGGAGGGGAGAGGTCCTGGCTCGCGGCGCCTCGCCCACGCCACTTGCAGGCTTGCTGAAGCCTCTCACTCTCGCGCGCCTGTGAGAACGGAGGAGGAGGAGGAGGAGGAGACTGAAGAGGAGGCAGAGGAGGACGAGGGAAGATGACAAGGAGGAGGAGGAGGAGGAGGAGGAGGAGGAGGGATCCTCTCAACTACTCGAGCACAGGCCCTGGGTGTGGCCGTGCGCCCCCCGCTCCAGGGTCACCGAGCGTCTCCGATGCTTTACAACGTGTGAAACACATAGACACATAGAGTGAAACAAAGCAGGTCACCAGGATGGCCAGGGAGATCTCTTGGAGCAAGGGGGTGGCCTTGGACCTCTTCGTGCCATGGCTGGGGGCCGCGGGTTGGCGATGGGATGTAGTTGCTGCTGCTGCTGCTGCTGATGACGATGATGATGATGATGATGATGATGATGATGATGATGATGATGATGATGATGATGATGATGATGATGATGATGATGATGATGAGGATGAGGATGACGCTGATGATGATGCTGATGATGATGATGCTCCTGATGATGCTTATGATGCTGATGTTGATGCTGATGCTGATGCTTATGGTACTGAGGATGATGCTGATGCTGATGCTGCTGATGATGATGATGATGATGCGGATGCTGATGATGCTGATGATGCTGATGACGATGATGATGCTGCTGCTGACGATGCTGATGATGCTTATATGCTGATGCTACTGCTGGTGTTGCTAGTGATGCTGATGTTGATGCTGATGCTGATGATGATGTTGATGATGCTGCTGATGATGATGGTAGTTGTGATGGTGATGGTGATGGTGATGCTGATGATGACGGTGCTGATGCTGGTTATGGTGATGCTGATGCTGATGCCGATGCTGTTGATGATGATGCTGCTGCTGATGCTGATGCTGATGATGATGCTGCTGATGATGCTGCTGCTGATGATGCGGTTGATGATGCTGCCGATGCTTGTGATGATGACGATGATGAGGATGCTGTTGATGATGATGTTGATGATGAGGATGACGATTCTATATGATGATGCTGATGATGATGATACTGATGCTGCTGATGATACTGATTATAGGGATATGATGAGGATTAACCATTTTATTTCTATTACTAATATCAACAGTGTTAGCAACGCTACTACAATGAGCATATGATTAAAACGTAACGATGATGCCGCGAATAATGATAAGTGAATAAGAACACAACTAATAGAGAGATGATGCGGAGGAGGATGATCAAGTGGAGGATGGCGATAAGGAGGATGTCGAGAAGGAGTAGGCGGAGGCAACCTGGCTCTTAGGACCGTCGTGGAGCGCTCTTGGGGCTCTATTCGGCGCTCTTGGGGCCGTCTTGGGGCCATCCTGGGGCCCTCTTGGAGCTCTCTTCGGGCCCCCTTGGGGCCCCCTTTGGGCCCTCTTGGGACCCTCTTTGGAGCCATGGAGGGCCTCTTGAGGCCACCATGCAGACTATTGATCAAATGAGGGGGGTCCCCGAGTTGCCTTCCCCCCTAGGGCCATCAGCACCGCCTCTTGGGCCCCTCTTGGTGCGCTCTTCGGCCCGTCTGGGCGGCTTCTTGGGCCCACTCTTTGGGCGTTCTTGAGCCATCGTGGGGCAATCTTGAGGCGAAGCGAAACGGCGAGACGGTACAATTCAAGGGTTTTCCAAATTGTGTTTGGAGGATTTTGGCCTTTGGGGGGGGGGGATCCTGAGGGGGCTCCGAGGGCACTTGGAACCGTCTTGTGGCCCCCGTCGTGCCTCTTGGAGGTATGTCGGAAGATGTCTTCAACCATCTTCGGCCATCTTGAGTTGCCTTGGAGGCCATCTTGGAGAGTTGGCGGCCCTCTTGGCCTCGCGACCCCCCCCCCCAGAACACCTCAGGGAGGGGAGGGCGAGGGTACCCCTCCACGGAGAGAAGAGGGCTGTGGAAGAGGATAACGACCGACATCGTTAGACGTTAGACCACCTTCGCCCAAAGGGCTGGTGGGATTTGATCCCTCCCCTTGCGGAGCCTCGCCCAGGCCTCCTCTTGAGGCTCTTGGGGCCCTCGTGCGCCTCTCTTCGAGCCATCTTGGAGCCATCTTGAGGCCTCACGGCCCCATCGGAAACGAGACGGCGAGGTGGTAACCACACATTGCCATCCCTTTGTTTTTTTGAACTGATCTTGTCCCTCGGGGGTGTCCTTCGGAGGCTCCGTGGCCTCTTGAGGCCGCCTTGGAGCAGGCTTCGGGCCTCCTGGAGGTGTCTGGGAGGCAGTCTCAAAGCGCCTATGATATCTTCAGCCAGCTTGGAGGCCATCTCGCGCTTTCTTGGGCCATGGTGGAGCCATCTTGGGCCATCTTGGCCGTTCTAACGGCCCGCGCCCCCTCTACGTCCAGTCCCAGGGGGATCGGGTAGGGGGATGTGTCATGCTACCCACCCGCCCGCAAGCCGTCTAGCTGATTCCCACCCGCCCTCCCAACACATAAGTGACACCCGAGCCTGAGCATCTTACAGCTACTGGGAACCACAGCCGACCCCAGGTGCGCGACGCTTGAGCGAGGCGCGCCACGCGTGCCAGTGGCAAGGGGCGCCACGCGCGCCAGGCACCCCTGGGGCCCGAGCGTGTCAGACACGCCTGGTGCGCCAGATGCGCCACGTGCTCCGAGTGCACCAGGTGTGCCGCACACTCCACCAGCCGCTGCAGGTGCGCCACGTTGAGGGCACGAGCAGAGTGCGTCAGGTGCGGCTGCGCACGTGACAGCACACATCGGGAAACATCTCGGCCCCCGCCATCCTTGTCGAAAACCAATGCCCATCATTGTGCCTGGTGGGCCTGGGCACAGCAGGCCATGCGCCACCACCCCCGCCGTCCCTGTCAAAAACCACTTGGCAGTGATCGCGGGATGGCCGCGCATGGTCCAGATTTAGCCGCGAGGTGCATGTTGTATTGTTTTTCCCTACCTAGGCTCTGCCTAGAGGGTTCTTACTCTCTTAGCTTAAAGGGGCCTGGCAGTGGATATCGCCCCGGGTGGTTCCCCCGGCATCCGCCCCGCGGTTTCCCCAGTTACGTCCCCTTAGCTTAGCATTGCTTATCTCATCTTAGCTTAGCTTATTTCATCTTAGATTAGCTTAGCTTCATCTTAGCTCAGGTTTATCTTAGCTTAGCTTACCTTCATCTTAGCTTCGTCGAGCTTTAGCATAGCAGAGCACACCATAGCATATCATAGTGTAGATGTTGATGTAGCTGTCGGTGTAGATGTAGATGTTACTTTCCTAGATTTTCCAACTCCTAGGTAGGGTCGTACTGGGATAATTTTTGTCAGGGATGGTAGCCCTGCGCACAGCAGGGAATATGCTGACACCCCCGGCGTCCCTGTCAAAAACAATACAACGTGTTCGCGGGCCCCACGAACATGATTCAAGACTGTGCACCAAAGTGTACTTTGCATTGCTTTTTGGCAGGGATGGTGGGGGGGACCGCATCGGGTTGGCCGCGCACGTTCCAATTGTGGAGGCGGAGTGCGGTCTGTATGGTTCTTCCACAGGGATGGTGGAGGGCGGCCCCGCGCGGAGTCGGCATGGTTCCGGGTTGGTCGCCAGCCGGGTGGGGGAGGGGGTGTGTACTAATGTGGAACAGTGATCAAGCGATCCGCCCCGAAGGCTCGCTCAGTTCCACCGCCTTTCCACCACATGAGTATCACCCGAGTCTCAGCATGGGCACGGGCCGCCATCGACAATCACTGGGAACCAATTCGGACGCCAGCCAGGTGTGCGACGCCCGCAAGGTGCGCCGCCCGTGCCAGGGCACCCCCCTCACCCCTGTCAAATAAGAAAGCAATGTGGTCGCGGGGAGCCCGCGCATGATGAAGATTTTGCCGCAAAGTGTAGTTCTTATTCTGTTTTGACAGGAATGATGGGCCTGCGAGCAGCAGGCAACATGCCAGCACCCTCCTTGCCCCTTTCAAGCAACATTGCGAAGTGATTGCTTGGTGCCTCTGCGTAATCCAGATTTTGCCACAAAGTGCACCCTGCATTGTTTTTGACACGGATGGTGGGGGGGTTCGTCATTACACCGGGTTTGCCGCTGGTCAGGTGGGGGAAAAGGTGTATTGTAACCAGGGGTTGTGATAAACCCGTGCCCGAAGGGGAAGAAGATGGTTGGAAGAACAATCGTTCTAGACCACCTACGCCCTAAAGGGCTGGTGTGGTTGTGCACGGTTGTCTATTTCAAATGTCACACGTTCAGGAGGCCCAAATCGACCCCACCCCGCCAACCCTTACAGCACATCGTCTGTGGGGAACACGCGCTGATCCAACACATGCGTTTTATAGGGATCTCCATCAAGTAGCAGCATGCGGGCCAGGCGGGGGCACACATCGGAAACGCAGATTATGTCATTCGCCGTGCTGCTTTTTGCAGGCGATCATCGTGCAACGTCGATCGCGGTCACGAAACAGCTGGGCGGGCGCCCCCATCCCAGCCCCCATGCATGGGCGAAAGGGAGGGGGGCGCCGCGCGACGCGCAGCGGCGTGGGGCGACGCGAGCCCAAGCGATGGGCGCGAGTCGTCGCGCAGTCCGCCCTGCTTGCATGGGCGAGCGCGCGAGGCGGCGCGTGCGCCGCCCAGGGTTGGGAGGGGCGCCGCGCGCGCGCTCGGCTGGGGGGGGTCCCGCCACGTTCGGCGAGGGGCACCTGCGGTGCGGCTTTTGCCCGCCCACCGCTCCCTTGGCGGCCATCCGGCTTGGGGCGTTCGCATTGGGCTATCGGTTAGGCTGGCGACGCAGGCGAGTGCCCGAGCCGCCTTCGGCTCGGGGTGCCGCTGCGCGTGGCCATGGTCGAGCGCCGCACCCATCGTCGCGGTGCGACGCGCCGAGCCGTTTGGCGTCCGCGCCAAGGGTTTGTACAGTAACAACATTGTCAGACTTATGTGCGCTCGCTCTTTTCGGCATCTTGTTATAACAGTCGTGCTCCGTTCGGCCAGATGAGGCCATGTGGGCCACGCGCGCCAGCATGTCGCGCCCATCGAACAACGCGCGCCACTAGTTCTGCCCATGCGGAGCCATGCAGGCCACGCGCGCGCGTCTCCGGGGGCGCATGCCGAAGGTATCGCAAAACAGTTGGTTTCCAAACGTTTCAGCGCAGAAGTATCTAATGGTGGGAATATTGAGAACACATCAACCCTCACATACGTCAGAGTTCTGCTCGCGTGCACTACCTCGTCGTCCCCACGGGCACCTTCGTCAGCATCACTGCTAGCGTCGTCATGGCCATCGTCATGTCATTGTCATCGCCGTCGTCGTCATCACCTCCAATGTCGTCATTATCGTCGTCATTGACATCGTCGCAATCCGGATCTTGTGGAAAGCCTTCAGCTTGCCTCTGAGACCCTGGCTTCCGCCCGAAGGGGGGCATAATGGACTGGCAGATCAACGGGCCCGCGCCAGCGGTGATGAGGAGGCTTTCCTTCGCTGCTTCCTCCCACCTGTCCCTCCTCGTTTCTGCTCCTCCTCTTCCTCCTCCTTCTTTTCGTACCCGCGGAGGGCTGTTGCTCCCCAGCTGTTCGCCTCTAGACGGGGGATGCCTCGGCCGGCCAGGCTGCGACGGGGTTGGCGGTGCTGCACGGCCAAGGCTTCGCACACCTGGAGCGCGCGCCATCCGGGGGGAGGAGGGGACGAGGGGGAAAATGGGTAGGAGGGGTGGGGAGTGGGAGGAGGTAGCAGGGATGAGGAAAAACGTATGGTGACGATGTGTTGCGAGGGCGGTCATGTTGGCGATGATGACGTTGACGACCACGACGACGATAATGATAAGAATGGCGGTGGTTTTGTCGATAGCGACGACGGTCATGTTGTTGATGACGGCAACGGTGTTGACGATTATGATCACGATGATGTTTGAAGATGACGATGTGCAGTGGGATGTTTCGGCCATTCTAGGATGGCATGTTTTTGCGTCATTGTGTGATGATTTCGGGGGCCATTCGACAACCCGAAGCCACTCTTTCCAGTTGCACTCGTCTCTGCTCCCGCACCGAGCCGTCTAGTCGAGCCCAGTGTTTCTCACCCCCTGCTGGCCTCCTCATTTCGCCCCTCCCTCCTACTTCCCCTCCCCTCTCCTGCCGCGTTAGGACACACGTGTGTGAGTGCGCGAATATTGCTTGATACAGGCATGTTTGCGGGGTCATGATACGTCTGTACCCTCTGTAGCCTTCTTCTCCCCGCCCTCTAGCCATCTCGGGCTCAGATGTTGTCTTGTCCAATGACCAATGAATCCATAGGTTGGTACCGTTCCCGCTTTGTGGCCGTAGCCGTGCTCAGCGATAACAGAATAGTTGTCCGCGAAGACGAGATTTCACGTTATTTATTACATACGCGCTGCCTTCGACAATTAGGTCGACAGACGCACTTTGGTTCCGACCTCTTCGGGTACTAACTAATGCTACGTCTGGTCCTAGGTATCAGATCAAATATTATCTGAGGTGGATGAGACGGCGACGCGCTGAACTTTGCATCGTGCCGCCCCCGAGACAAATTTCGGCGTGTGGGAGAGAATAATCTCAACATCTCTGCCCGGATGGTTTTTGAAGTTCCAAGCGCATGTTCGGTGGCATATTCGTGTACATGATGCTGAGTTTCGCGTTTTGGTGTTACTTGGTGTTGGTACTCCTGCCGTTCGGGAGCAATGTTGGATTACGCAGACCCAAATGCTGTGATTTGCGAGCTCCCTGTCCTGTCCTCCTCTCAGAACATTGTGCTGGAAAAGTGCCCACTGTGTTGGCGCCAAGGTCCGCGACACCTTACTTAATCTCTCTGCTCTATCCTCACTTGTCCCCCCGCCTTCAGCTCCTAGCGGTGAGGGTTCTTATCCGTAAGGGCTTCGCCCCCTGCCGCCGGCCCCCTCTCTCGGAGAATGGGCCATGGAAGAGCTAAGTCATGAGGCCTTGGCGCTGTCGTGAAGCAGTATCGAAACTTCATGCGAAGCCGATTCGCAATCAGCAAAACCAACTGATCACAAGAGGGGTTACCACACCTGGCGATTGGTAAGACGTGTATGGTTTACGGGCTTGGTTACCACACCTTGCGATTAAAGGGCCGAGGGAGTTCTCGCAGTTTGGGTTACCACGCCTTGCGATGGATGTGCGTGAAGGGTGGCACCGAATTTCAGAAATGTGGCAAATCCCTGTGTTTTTGGACCCTGACCCCGCGGATCTGCGTGAGGGGTGGCACCGAATTTCAGAAATGTGGCAAATCCCCTGTGTTTTTGGACCCTGACCCCGCGGATCTGCGTGAGGGGTGGCACCGAATTTCAGAAATGTGGCAAATCCCATGTGTTTTTGGACCCTGACCCCGCGGATCTGCGTGAGGGGTGTCGATTTTGAGCCCTCCCAGCAATTCAGACAACGCGCCCAGGTGGTGCTAAAAATCTGGTTTGGGCCTCCCCCCCCCTCGCGCGGTCAATCAACTAGTTACAGTAACCAGCAAGAAGCAGAACTGTAACACTGGAAACTACAAGCTACAACTGGTACAGGAAACTGCGAATCACTCGCCTCGCAGCCTGGTGGCCCCACAAGGGGGCCGGCGGATTTATCATATTCTCCTTTTACTCCTTTCTTTTCCGCCCGGCAAAAGCTTGAACATACGCCGAACACCCTTTTTGGGATTGGACTCGCCCCCCAACCTGCGATTTACTACCCGGTTCAGCGGGGGGTGGGCATCGCTTCACACCAGGCCAAGACGAAAGACTCGATCTGCCAGGAGTCGGACAGAGGCCGCCCACAGATGGGCTGCCACAGGTGCCGCAGCTCGCCGCCCCGTGGCGGTGCAGGTTCGGATCACCAGTCTCTTCCCTCCTCCTCCTCCCTCCTCCTCCTCCTCCTCCTCCTCCCTCCTCCCTCCTCTCCTCCTCCTCCTCCTCCTCCTCCTCCTCCTCCTCCTCTCCTCCCTCCTCCTCCTCCTCCTCCTCCTCCTCCTCCTCCTCCTCCTCCTCCCCCACCTCCTCCTCCTCCTGCTCCTCCTCCTCCTCCTCCTGCTCCTCCTCCTCCTCCAGATCGGGCGACGAGATCTACAGCAGGGTTGCTTCGTGCCGACGCGGCGGCGACGCCAGCTGCGGCGGCCCAGGCTGCGCGCCACCAGCAGCCAACGCGGCGTGCTTCTCTGGGCTGGAGGCCCCGCTCTGACCTGCGCTGCTGCCCGCGTCGTCCCCCTTCGCCCTCGCGACGAGACCGCAGCCGAGGACGCATCGCGCGAAGAGCGGAGACCTGCGACCCCCGTCTGCTCCCCCCCTCCCACTTGCCCGCTGCCCTGCGGCCGTGCCCCTGGCACCGGCCCCGCGACGCAGGACGTCAAGCCCGACAACATACTCGTCGGCGCGCCCCTCCCCCCCCCTCTGCTCTTTGCGAGGAAGAGAGGAAGGGGGGAGAAGGAGAGGGACGGAGAGGGGAGGAGGGGAGGAGGGGGAGTGGAGGGTCCGCGGCCTCTTTGGCTTGAGGGGGGGACGGCCTCAGCCCGCTGGCCGCGTCGCGTCGCTCTGATCATCAAGATCTACACGCGGACCATCGCGGTCTACGGGTGGATCATCAAGATCTGTGCGGCGATCATTCATATTTTTACGAAGGCCCCGACTTTGGAGACCTGCCGGCAGCAGTGCCGAGAATCGAAGTGGAATCCGCTCTGAGGCGTATGGGAGACCAAGTCAGACATGGACGCCAGCCGAAGCCCAGAGACATCATGATCGTTATCACCGTTCTTATCGTGAGCACGGCGACACATACGACAGCATATTCAACGCCGGCCACCACAAGTATGACACCAAATGCGACAAGGAATGCATATGCTCCATACGAGAGCACCCGCGGGAGACGAGGAAAAACGTGCGCGGGAGACGAGGAAACACGTGCTGCACGACACCATGCGCGGAATATGTGCTAGACGAGAACATTTTGCGTCGAGAGATCAGCAGATATAGTGCGTCGTCGTGGAGGGTCCCGCTGCAGGAACATCGCCACCAGTGCACCGCCATGCAGCTGCAGAAACCCACCTACGAACCCGATGATCACGAATAGGATAACCATGGCGGTGACGGGTCGCAATCTGAGCTACGCGGGCAACAGGCAGAATTTCGAGGACCACCAGTTGCGCTACGAAAAAACAAAAGAGTTGCGCTACGAGAGCCACCTGCCGAGCTACGTGGACCACGAGCTGCGCTACACGGGCAGCGGGCAGAGCCTCTAGGGCCACCAGCTGGGCCACTGGGGCCACCGGGAGGAGCACCACGACCACCCGCAGCGCTTCGACGGCGACCAGCGGAGGCACGGGGGGCACCGGCAGAGCCATGAGGGCCCCCAGCGGAGCTACCAAGGCCACCGGCAGGCCTTTTGGAAGCCACCACCAGAGCTACGAGGGCCAACCGCCGAACCGCGAGGACCACGACCTGACTTACGCGGACAACGGGCAGATCTTCGATGGCCGCTGGCGGAACCGCCGAGGCCACCAGCAAGACCACACAACGGAGTTGTGGGTAGAATCCCTGGTTGCTGGTGGACACTGTGGGATTGGGTGCGGCTTAACCGGCGGGTCTGGGTCACGGCGGCGCCCGTCAGGGCGTCGCCATATGGGTTCGGCCGCGGTCCCCAAGGGACCTCTGTAACGCAGGAGCCTCCCATGTATGTTGGTACTGATGTTCGTCCATTACAGTTGCTGGGTTCAGAGGGTTCAGAGTCGAATTGGTATTCCAGGTCTGTGATTTTCCATCGCGGTGGTATCTCTTGTGCTTCTACCTTTCATTCTTCACTGTGTATCGTAGCCGGTCATTCGTCGCCCTCATGTGCGTGTCGCAACAGCTAGTATCAGAGCTTGCTGCAGGTGACTTCGGTTGCGGCTCGGCCTGCCGCATCCTGCTTGCCCTGTTGCACCTGCCGCGTGCTCAGTTGGTCCTTGCATTGTTGTGCATGGCGTTGCCGCCGTTGCTACTGCTGGGGCGGGTGGTCCATCCAGTTTGCATTTCGCCTTCGCCGTTTCGTTTTTCCCCCAGTCTTTCTCACCGTCGTGGACGCAGCGGCATGTCACCTGTCCTGTGGCCAGAGGGTCACGGCCAGTCGCGAGTGCCCCTACGCCAGAGGTTGATAACCGCGCGTGTTGTATCCTGTATGCGCATGCCCACGGGTCCGCCCGATGCGGTTAGGCTTTGTGGGGTTGCGCTATCGCAGGTAAAAGTGCCTTCGGCATGGACTGTTTGTTCTTTGGCATGGTAGATCTTACCTCAGGGGTGCCAGTCGCGCTTCGAAGCCTGATGGAGGATGGAAGGCAACGCGCTCAGATTCGAAGAGTCGCGCGATGGACGTTGGTGCAGGCCCAGAGGGAATATTTTGAACTGGGAGGTCCAACAGGGGAAGGGCTCGGGGCACCTCATGAATTCGCGCCTGGCGGACGACGGGAAGCGCTCTCAGACTCGACGGGTCGCGCGATGCGCGTTGGTGCTTTCCCGGGGGTGGTGGTGGGATTTTTCGCCGCGGGGCCCCGCAATCGCGACGGCCCGCGGAATTGACGGATGACGGGGGGCGCGGTTAAATTCGAAGAATCGATCCGTGGGCGTTGGTGATGTGCCCCGAGTGGAATTGTTCGTTTCAACTGGGGGGCTCAGGGGT